ACTTCGATCAATACACTTTTCCTCATAAAAGTTGTGAAGTTTTCGTTTTATTCTTGAAAAACGATTTCGGACGCTGCCCCGGATGTGGGCCTGTGGGGGATAACATTTGTCCCAAATGCCTTCCCTTGCATCCGCCAGCGGGTTGCCCCGCCCTGAGCTTAACTAAAAACGTCTTAAAATCCCACCAGAGAGCCGAATCCGATAACTCATCTAGCTGTCTGCCCGTCTAAATTACTACGCACCGTACGGCGCCCAGCCCCGTCGGAGCACTGAACCGACCGTGATATTTTTGGTTTTCCCCCATCCCCAGCTCCATTAGAAACGTTCTCTCTCCCCATCCAATTGCTCATGATGTCATTTCAAATTCAATACCTACCTCATCTCTGTCTGCCCGCCCATTCATTGCACACATTACGGCGCCCGGCCCCGCCAGAAGGATCCTAGCGCGCTGAGTGGTTGCCTCCAGCCGCGTCATCGCGAGGCCCCGCGGGGCCCGCAAATGAATACATTGCGTGAATAGCCGTGTCGCCCCCTGGGAAAGTAGCATCTGTATTTAGGGCCTTGGTAGCATCCTTCCGTCTGCGCACCGTACCTGCACCTGCTGCGCGTGGTCGGCCAAATAATCACGGAACCATTTGGTAGTGAAGTGATGCCGTAGAGAGACAGCTTTTCTAGCAGCTTGTCATGCGGAACAACGTCAAAACATTTAGATAAATCGAGAAGTACCAGAATACTTATCTCGCCGTTGTCCATAGCGTGAAGCGCCAGATCGGTGATCACGTGCAGTGCGGTTTCAGTGGAACGGAATTTACGGTACCCGTGTTCAGGGGGCGTCGAAGTCTAGTAGGAAAATCTGGAAATCCCCGGCGTGACGTCACGTCGGGGATGACCTACGGCACCTTGCACTGAAAGATACGGCAGAACGGCTATTTTTGAAAAATGATTAAAAATACTTTTGTGCTGTTATGACACATAAAAAGCTTATCAGCATGTTCCTCATCATGTGATAAAGGCATATCCGTGGTCGAAAATAGCCGAGACCCTCCCAGTTTCCAACCATCAACCTGATAAGCAAAGGATGTAAGCGTAATCCTTAAGGGTGACTTTCCGTTACATATCCGTACATATGCGTCCTTATGGAAATCGGTAGTTTGGCGATTGGCGACGCGCGCGACATCTGTGCTGCGACTGTAGCGACACCTGGTTGCTGCTTTTCTGCTGTATGTAGGTATTGGGGTTTTGCCAGATATGGTTCCTACTGCTACACCACTATGTTGACCCAATACTAGAAAAGTTATTTTGCTAGTAAAAGGCAAGCAAATTGAAAGTTGATTTATAAAATTGCTTATAAATGATTACAAGATAATAATAAAGAAATTTTGATTGAATAATTAATTAAATAATCAACCGTGAAACTATATTTTGGTAGATTTAGTAGAAATAGGTCCGTGCAACCTTGTATTTAGGGCCTTGCCCGTGTTGACAATCGGAGAGCAGGCAATTGTCCTCGAGATAAGCAATGAGCTGCGCCTGTACAACGCGCTCGACAATTTTCATTATTGCTGGCAGAATCGAGATGGGTCGAGTATCGGACGGTTCGGTGGCAATTCCGGCTTTAGGAATGGGTGTGACTAGCGCATGCTGCCAGGCGTGCGGCACTGTACCGGTGACAAGGCTCGAGTTTACAACGTCAAGCAGAGCATGTCTCACACCCAAGAAAAACTTTTGCAGCATCATCACGCTAATGCCGTCAATTCCTGTTGAATTGGACGGTTTCATCACCGCGAGCGTGGCACACAAAGTATCCAGGTCGATTGTGCTGACATCGAAACCACTAGTTGACACACGTGGGACGCGCGTGGGGACAGCCAAAGCGGCGACCGGCACACTAGCAGCAGTGTTGAGCCCCACTGCGACATAGTAGTTGTTCGACAGTAGTAGGTGACACCTACTATGGATGATCGGCAGGACGCCTACTGGTTGATCTAACCTGACCTGACCCGACCTGGCCTAAATGCATAAAGACATCGTCTGTGATCAAAACTAACATGAAATTCGTGATCAGCACCCCAAAATACCCCGTAACGCCCTAACTTTGCGAAGTTTCAAGAGGTCTCGATTTCCCAACTTTAGTTGGGTCATTAAACTGACTTGGAAAGTCAACTAATGACCTTGGACTTTGAAATTGGATATATCCGGCCTCATTTCGTCATAGGCAGCACGCTTGATTTTTCCGCGAAGCTCTAGCTTGATCAGGGGCCAAACGGCTGAGCCGGGGGTTCAATTGAACCCCCTATACTATGTTGATTATGCAAATTTACAGGTAAAATTGCCAACATCTGTGCACGATCTGGATACAATGCTACCTATGGTTTGCCCTCTACGAATAAAGACGTGCTAGATCGGAAAAATCCCTACTGTGCGCCGCGCTGGCTGTCTCCTCGTGTCAGACTTCGGTCAGTGCTCCCAGCGGCTCTCAAACTTTTCCGCTCAACCGCGGCTGGGACAGGTGGCGCCTTCCCTCGGAGTTGCGATACTTTCAAGAGAGACTACACATTGCATATGTACTCGTATGTACATAGTATGGTAGGCGTCATATATTGCATATCACCCATGTTAAGTTCAAAATAGGGGAGAGTGGGGTAAGATGCCCAGGGTGGGAAAGACGCCCACCCCTCTAACGGCGAAGCAAAAAATCAAACCTGGAAATTATTATTCTTAGCGTAAAGCGGAAACCTTCCTTGTTTACTACACAAAAATTTGCCAAGCTCACTTGGGCAGTGGTGGGCTGGTGGCTGCTTCTTTTATATGTGCAGCTTTCAAGCAATGTTTTAGTGTCAAAGCATTGTGAATATCAAAGAAAATACATATATAATTTTTAAGTCCCTTGCTAATGTCGTGATACATCCATATGCGTGTATGTACTTTACTTTGTCCCAACTAGTTTGTTTCAGGTTGTAGTTTTAATGCTAACAAATTGTACTGATTAAATGTTAATTCGATACCTTATGGAAAGATGCCCCCTGACTTGATGGGGAAAGACGCCCCCCCCTAAATCCATGGGCTGCCCTTCAAGGGACTCGTCGAATCATTTAGCATATACTTGTGAAGAGAGACAAAAGCCGATTTGGGACTATTGAGAGTCCAATACGGTCAGGTGTTCGCCATGTCGGTCGCTGTGAGAGCACTCACGATGGCCTCTGTGGGCCCCATTATTGATTCCGAGGCCCCTCACGACACTTTTTGAGAGCTCCCACGCTGGCCCCACGGGCCGCGTTGGCATCTGAGGTCTCAACGATGGTCTTGAGGGCCTTCAAGTCTCATGAAGACCTATAAGGGCCCCACAACGGTCTCTGAACGTCACCACGGAGGCTTGTTTGGCCGCGCTGGACTATGATGGCCTTCACGATGACCTCTGCAGCCCCTTACGACAACTCTTTAGGGCCCTTATGATGGCGTTTAAGTGTCTACCGTAGGCTCGGATGGAACCGATTCCCTCAGGCAATTCACGTGACACGTGCCCATTTATGTCACTTATCCCGCGCCCTGATGGGGTCTGCCGAGCAACGCGGTCTGATGGGGGGGGGGGGGCATTTTGGCCCCCCTAAGATCTCGAGAACCACGCAACATGGCGACAAGCAGTAAACGGCGTTGGATAGCCCCAACGGGGAACTACCTTGTGACCCAATTTCATTGACTTCGGTCAAACCGATGACGTCACAGGTCAGGTCATAGGTCGAATTTTCACCGTTTACAGGCATTTCAAGAAATGCGTTGTAAAATCGAGTAAAATGCATTTCATTGAAAATCATCGATGGGAAAATGTTCTTCAAACACATATTTTGCTATTTGAGGTCACTGATACCAGGTCAGGTCACAGAGGTCAGGTCACTGGGGGGTCACAATATGAAAGTGTCGTGTGATGCATGTTTTATGGTCCATTTTACATGACAAATGCGATTATGTGGGTCAGGCAGACTTTTGGGCCAGCTTAGGTCACGTTTTGGTCAAGGTCAGGTCAAGGTCAGGTCAAATAAGGCCAAATTTCAAAGTTGATATTTTTGCATAAAATGGGTATCGATTCGATGCAGCTCGTCACGGGGAGTTCAATGGTGGTCTCTGTTTTGCGCTACGAGGTCTAGAATTGCTAAAAATTGAGTTCAAATATTTGACGTCATCAATTTTTAACAGTTTTTTTTTCGCCAAAAAAGAGGTATCGATCTAACATTTGGTATGTATATCGAAGAGCGCAGGGACTATCACATATCTTCCGGTTTTTCCAAATTCGGAATTTTTTTGGATTTCTTTAGTTTTTCTTAAAAAAATCATTTTTTTATTTTTTTTGGGTCAAAATCCCAAAATTTCGAAAATCTGAGATAGCAGTTTTGTTGCGCCGTCTTTTCTCTACACAACCACATAAAGTACTTTAAAATTGCTTGTTAACTGTAGAATTGGTGAGCGTTTCAAGATGTCATGTATTTTGCTCATTTTTACTCGAACATGACCTCAGTTTGACCTCAATAACTCCTGACCTGAGGTGACCTGTGACTTGAAATTTTGTGTGAAGGTGCCGAATTGATGCCCGTTAAGGTACCCAAAATTTGGCGGCGCTGCGCGCCGCCGTTTTTTTCACTATTTAAGAAAAACCACAGGGGGGGCCAAAATGCCCCCCCCCCATCAGGGCGCGGGTTATAGTGCGGACGGGCACCTTACTCAACCCCAGGGGGCGTCTTTCCCACCCTGTGGGGTAAGATGCCCCCTTGCACTTCTTCAGGAAAATGATTTATAGCAAAAAAGTTATCATATTTCAAGGACAAAGGTGTTCTACTTTGTGAAGAAAAATGATGTTGGCTTCCGTTGAAACTCCAAGTTTTTGCTTTCCGATTGTCATTTTCGAATAAATTATGACATAACAAACCCCTGGCATCTTTCCCCACTCTCCCCTACAAATAAGAAACATCGCACTTTCAGCATGCTCCACCCCGCGCAGATATAGGTAATGTAAGCATCCTTTATATTGAAGCTGTTCGAACATAAAAGTGCATAGCACCAATATTCTTGGAGCTTAAATAATGACGATTTCCCTGCCGTTTCATCCAACGTAACATAGCGTCGTATTTACGTGCAAAAAGCACATTGTCTGTGTAAGATCCGAGTTCCCTCCACTACACTCTATAGAGAGAGAGAGAGTTCCCATGGAAAAACGGACACTGTTTTGTGTGGGCGAATCACTGAGCTCGGAAATTGCGAACGCGCCTCACTTTATCTCACAGCACCGATATTTCCGTCCACTGGGCGGGCCAGAAGTCCTTTTGTCGCTCGTACGAGTTCCAGGTGATGCCGAGGTCCTTGGGCACCACCACGTCGCCGCCGGTCATGATGGCCGCCGAGAGGGCGAACGTGCCGAACGTGATGATGGTGTGGTTACAGTGGCCCAGCAGCGCCAGGTCCAGCATCGGCGGGTTGCCCGCGTCGCCGGGGAACAGGATCACGGCGTCGAGCGCCGCCAGCTGCTCGCGGCACCACTGCATGTCGTCACTCACCACCACGAACACGGTGTTGGGGTAGCGGCGCTGGTAGTGGCGCACGGCGCGCTCAAAGTACGCCGCACCGGGCATGTTCATCCACACGCCGTCCAGGTTGTAGGTGGCCTGGTAGTAGTCGGTGCGTCGCACGTGCACACCGATGAACGTGACGGGCTCGTCGTCGGGGCCGAGCGCGCGCCGCACCCGCCGCAGGTACTCGTGCACGATGGACGAGATGGGTGCGCTGAAGCGCAGCTCGGCGCGCATCTGGGCCTCGTGCGCGTGCCAGAGCCGGTAGATGGGTCGCGTCATGTTGGTGGGGAAGCCGACCAGCTCCAGCCAGCCGGTGATGGGCGCCAGGTCCTCCCAGACATCCTGGATGGTGGCCACGCTGATGTTGCGCCGGCCGTGCCACAGGTGGGCGCAGTCCATCAGCAGCAGGTCTAGGTCGCCGCGCTGAGCCGTCATCCCCGCGAACACGCCCTCGAACGTCTCGATCATCACGTCCGGGACGAGGAAGGGCACGTCGTGTCGCAGCGCCACCGCCCACGCGGTCAGGTACTCGAACAGCATGTTGCCGGCGCGTCCGCCCGCCCATGGGATGACGGCGCGCTCCGGGCATGAGGCCGGCCGCGGCAGCCGGCCCGCGCGCACCAGCTCCATGTCCGTGCTGCCGTGCAGGTCGCGCATCACCTGCGCGAGGTGCAGGTGGAGCAGGGGCGCGGCGCGTCTCCGGCGCTCCGCAGTGGACGCCGGCCGCCGGACGGGGGGCGGCCGGACAGCGAGCGGCCGGCTGGGGGACGGCCGCCGGTCCACCATCAGCAGCACGGCGCCGAGCTGCAGCACCGCCACCGCGGTCATCAGCAGCACCACGGCCACCAGCCGCGCCGGCACCAGTCGGCCCCACTGGCGACACACGGCCGGGCCGCCCGGCTGTGTCAGCGGGCACCACATCGGGCGCCGCGCCGGGCCGCAGCGTCAGCAGTCAGCTGCCCCCATCCACCTGCCGGCCACAGCGAGACGGGTGCGCAGTGCGCACACGCAGCGGTCAGGGCTCAGCGCGGTCACGGGTGGCAGCATCCACGGACCTTTGTCGTATTTACTATGCATTTCAGACCCTATGAGACCCTGTTTTTCGGCGATAATTTCTTTAATATTTATCCAATTGGCTTCAAATTTTCGCAAAGCACATTTCAGCTCAAGCGCCAATTTTCGTCAATATGGTCGTTTAACAAATTATCAAAATTTAGGGTACTTGTCATTGCCTCGTAATGTTAAAATCAGCTCCGTCAATCCGTCAGTGGAGTAGAGGCTATCCGTGAGTAGGTGTGACGTCACAAACACGTGACCATTAAGCTCCGCCCTCCCGGCCGACGGGGCGGTGACCTTGGCCGGTCAGTCGGCTGCGTAGAGCGGGCGAGGCGGTAGCTGCCGCACCGGGGCGGATCGCATGGAACGTAGCTGTCGTGTATTATGCATTTCAGACCCTGTGGAACAGTCCTTTTCGGCTATTTCTCGCTGTATATGCGTTTGATTTTAACCAAACTTTGGCAGTGGTAGTTTGAGATCCCTACCTAATTTTTATTAATATGGTCTATTAACAAAAAAATAAAAAATAAAGGCACTTGTCATTGACTGATAATGTTAAGGTCGTCAGAGCCCTGCTTAGAGGCTGGCACAGGCTGGGCGCTACCTCCCCTCTGATTGGTCGTGACGTACTAGCACACTGCGGCTTGGCTCCGCCCAGTTGCGGTCCTGCCTCGGGTCATGCCAGCCGCAGTCGCAGTCTGACCGGCCGGCGTGCGGGTGGTGCGCGCGCGGAGCGGTAGAGTGGCGCACTTGTTCGTATGTCATTAACTTTTGATAAGTTGTTCTGCAACAAATACTGGACGGAGGAAGGAAGAAAAAGGAAGAAGAGACAAAGTGACAATGACACGAACGGTAGACTGTGGCTAGTGGACAGCAAACAATGTACGTAAACGCTAGAAGAGACAGGAGACAAAGACGGTAGACGAAAGACAGACAAAGAGGGCAGACCAGAGACAAGTGACGGAGATATAGATTGTAGACGACAGACTGACAAGGGGAGTGAAGGATGGGAGATCATGAACTCTCGATGTTGCATATCTACATTATCATATCCTATCTTTCCTTGTTAATTGCTTTTCGGCCTTAAGCTCTATCAACCATATCCTTAAAGCATTGTGGAAATATTATGGAAAGATTGAATATTGTTACCCCCAAAAATCTTAAAAAGTAAAACAAAAACGAAATACAAGCACATATGTGGATACCCTTAATTAAATAAGGCCGTTGAATGTCACATATGTACCTAAAGACAATGCGGTAGATTCTGTCTCGTTACTCATTAAATGCACCATAGCCTGTAGGAAAACGGTCAGCGGAGAAGCTTGCTATAAATTATTGAAAATAAGATGCTTTAAATTTTGTAGGGAAAACATTCTGCAGGATCTTAATTTGTAGCTAGAAGGAGTGCTTATCGTTTTATACATACACCGATCTGCATTGCATTCTTTCCGTCCTTATTCTCTCCGCGCGAGACACGACACATATTCATGTAAGGGAAGGTGCGTTAGCGTGTGTCTTCTTCCAGTCCTTTGCAGAGCTCCGCGCCCCTCTGAGCCCGAGCGGCGAATGACCGGTCCCGGTGTCGCGGCGCGGTGGGCGGAGCTTAGCTGCGGCGCAACAGCTGACGCTGCTACGCCGTGCTAGCCTCTACCACGGCGCAGAGTTTTCCGATCACTTTTTACCATTACAAGTCAATGACAAGTGCCCTTCATTTTGACATTTTGCTAAAAGACCATATTAGTAAAAATTAGGTAGGGCCTTGAAACTCATTGTGTCAAAGTTTAGTTGAAATCAAGCGTTTAGGTAACGAGAAAGAGCCAAAAAGGACTGTTCCAGGTGGTCTGAAATGCATAGTAGTTGTCGTTGCAGCCGTAACCTAACCGAATGAGCAAAAATAGCACTCATAAGTAAAGCACTAGCTGAAGCCCTCGCCTTTGCATTTATATTTGCAAAGGCGTACCTACATCCTGTTCAAGTTCAATTACAATCACCTTCTGTCCCGCCCGGCGCCCCGCACCGCTTCAATCACGAATACAGTCGTCTCGCTGGAGCAATGCGCCAGGCAATCGGCCGTGCCCGCGACTCTTGATCCCACTTTGTTGCTTTCTGCGCCTTCCTCAGAAACATTTATTGACGCTGCAAAATATATATAAATATTTTGGGGTAACGCAGAGGCTTACGCATGATCTTATAGGTGATAGGGTGTGACTTGACCCAGCCTGACGATGAGATAGGTGCAACTCTGGCTTAAATAAATGCTCGGAGTCCAAGAGTTCGTCATCTTTCCTTTTACGGCCGGTTCTGGATTCATCCTACCCTGATTCTGATCATTCTGAATATCCTGAGCTGGTTCGACGTTTAGATACCAAAATAGGAGAAGAGGACACCAATGCCCTCGAACGGAGATTTTTTGCTTTCGTCCCGAAACAACTTTGCCAACTCCATTTGTCTCCAGCATGCGGCCCCGCCGCGAACCCTCCGTGGTGCTGACTGACGCCGACTGAAGCGCCATAGAACCAGCGCGGTCACGGCCAGTGGGCGGAGTCAAGTTGAGCACGGCGTAACGTGATTGGCCAGCACTCCTATCCAATCCGGTGCGGCAGCGAGCGAGCCTCTATTCGGGTGAAAATTATGATTAACATTACGAGCCAACGACAAGTGCTCTAAATTTTGATATTTTGTTAAGAGACCATATTGACGAAAATTGGCGCTTGAGCTGAAATATGATGTGTCAAATTTTTAAGCCATTTGGACAAAAAATGAAGAAATTATCGCCGAAAAACAGGGTCTCATGGGGTCTGAAATGCATAGTAGTAGACACGACAGTGATGCACACGACTGGTGAGCGCAAGAGTCAAGACAGGCGGGAAGTCTTCTTTCGGAAAAAACGTTCTAGTGTAGCCTTTGGGTTTAGTCTTTTATAATACCTAAAGCCGATATCAAAATCACATGTTTGCTTAGGTAAAACATAACCCAAAACAGGCACAAGCCCGGCCGGCCCCTGCTCTGCCGACTCTCTCGTCTGGTCTGTCTGGTCAGCTGTCGCTGCCCAAGCGGGGCGGCGGTTTACACGGAATATAAAAACGGAACATTACGCTCGTGACCTCTCTTTACGCCCCAGAGATCACCTTATGTCATGAAAGGTTCCCAGCAGTTTTTGACAACAACTTTTGATAGAGGCATGTAGAGTGAGGTAATATCTTAGATGTGCCCCGAGTCCGCTATACGATATGGGTCGACTAATATGCAATATGACCTTTTCCGGTCAAATCATGACCTCGACCTTTGGTTGTATTTTCGTGTGTTAAGGTCATAACCTTTTTAATAGGTATAGGTAGTAAATTGGGTAGGTAATGTTATCTTTACATACATACATACATACATACATACAGTTTATTAGGTCAAATTTATAGGTCAAGTTAAAGGTTACTCGGCGCGGTAGACGAGCGGAACACAATGCCGGTAATATCAGGCACTGTCGTGCGAGTTTTGCGTAGTGTCATAGCAGGAAAAAAGTTTTCGGCGAAAAAGTCAGTTTTGACTTTTTGAGCTTTTACCATACGGCCATTCAGGAGGCTGAACCGTTGACCTTCGGTCATATCTGAGAACAAAGCTCAGAAAAGGCGCTGTAGCTCTATTCGTCCCCGAGTTATGCAGATTTATTGGAAACTTCGAAATAGGTAGACGAAATTTGTCATTGGATGATCTATGACGACCTGACCTTTGACTTGACCTTAAAATTTTTTAATGATTTTATGGTTTTTGAGGCTCTTACGAACGTCGCCTACCGCGCGTCGCTACGTGATCCAGAGCCGAGTTACTAAGGGGTTGTTCACCCTCCCCTCGCGTCTAGCAGGGCGTGGAAACCAATTAGCCCAGGCTAATTGGTAGGCCAGCCTGCTCGGGTGACCAAAAGTAACGAACAGCAGTGGAAGGGGGAGCGGCGTGAATTATACCGTATGAACGGCCCACAAAGGTAACGAAAGTTACTTGATCCGTTACCAAGTTAAATTGTATCGAGCCCGCTCCTCACCTCCTAAAATCGTTCCGACGATCGGGAAGGGTGATGCGGACCGCGCCACGTTACGTAAGACACATCAAAAATAGCACACCAAAACGGAGAAAATTATGAAGATAAGTTTACGCTGACCTACTCGCCTGTCCTGGCGACTGACGCGGCACTGACGCCGGACACACTCCCTCTCCGATCACCTGTTGGGCTACTGACCGCGGTCGTCGTCCGTACGGCTCGCGCGGCGACCTCCTTTCCGCCGCCCTAACGGGACGGAGCGGCGGCAGCGCGGCGCGACGGCCCGCTCTCCGCGGCAGCTGCCGCCGCAGGCTCACGGGCGCGGGCGCGCCGCGAGCGGCCCGTAGTGGGTGTCAGTCGTCCGCTGTAGCGCAGCGCACGATCATCATATCCTGCAGTAGCTCACAAAGACAACCTGCTTCTTTTATGCATCGGGTAGACTTCCGAGGGATTCTAGTGTATAAATATATCAGAGGTAGACCGCAGACATTTTGCATCGTTATACCGATATGTACGACTACGTTATTAACCAGAATGGACTGCTTCGCAGCCTTACCATAATCGTTCACCTCGCATAAAAATATTGCTTCACGTAACGAGTCGAGTATATAACACTTATTTCCATATGTACACATGTACCAACTTATGCGTACATATTTACATTGAATGTATTGAAAAATAGGTATAGCTCGTTTTTCTTAAGTTCGACCCTCACTGTAAACATCTTTTTGAACACAGCACGAGAATTGCTAGCTGAATTACTGAGAAAGCTGGTCAGCGCACATTGTAGGTATTGGCGATGAAATAATATTTTCAAAATAAGTTTTTAAGACCGATGATGTACTGTTATGTTGAACGTCGTGCGATTTATTAATAAGTTCAGTTATAATTACTGACAAATCCTCCATCCTTGTGGGGTTTCAAATAAACACCGAGCCAAGGCCACATAACCAGGTATGGACATCCGTTTTTTTTACCGTCCCCCTACCGGGCCCGAATGACGTCACTGGGATGGTAACTCGCCGGCCGCCGTCCCTAGCCATTACGGAGGACGGATGTTCAAAAACGTTTTTAACCCGCGCACCGTAGGGGGGGGGGGCGAAACGGCCCCCTGTCCTTTTCCGTCGATATCTCCTAAACGGCTGGAGATATCGCCACCAAACTTTCAGGATCCCTCCGGGCATCAATTTTACACATTATGATCACAATTTCTTTCCAGAGGCTATGATAGGTTGGCCATAAATGACGTCAGAATGACGTCATGTTCTGTCATTTTCGACCGAAAAAAGACCTTCGCGAGAAGACCTGTCAGGCCTACAGCTTTGAAGGTAGAGAAAAATAGTCTGACTTATAAGGTCTAGAATTGACAGGGCTACAAAACTGCTATCTCGGATTTTTAAAAGTTTTGAGTTATGACCCCCAAAAATAAAAAAGCACTTTTTTGGATATATTAACCAAAAAATCCAAATAGTTTTTTGAGTTTCGAAAAAAACCGGAAGATATGTGATAGTAGGTACCTACCGTCTTCTATCTACATATCAACTTTCAGATCGATACCTCGTTTTTTGGCCAAGTTATAGTGAAAAAACTGTTCAAAAATGATGACGTCCAATTTTCAAACTCAATTTTTGGCAATTCTAGACCTCGTAGGGCAAAAGAAAGACCACCATTAGACTCCCCGTGACGAGCTGCATCGAATCGATACCCATTGTATGCAAAAATATCAACTTTGAAATTTGACCTAATTTGACCTGACCTTGAACTGACCTTCACCAAAACGTAACCTAGGCTGGCCCCAAAGGCTGCCTAACCCACATAATCGCATTTGTCATGTAAAATGGACCATAAAACATGTATCACACGACACTTCCATATTGTGACCCCCGCGGGGGTTCGGCTCAGCGGAGGCAGCGCCCACTGGTGCGGGGGACTTTTTTAATAGACCTACTGTATGTAACATATGCCCCCCCCCCACTGGGGCGAAGGTTAAGGTCCTAACCTCACCTGACCTCAGTGACCTCTGAGGTCAGGTCAAGTGCCCCAAGGTACGGTTCAGTTTTCGGTGAATAACTTCGCAAAAAAACGGCCGCAGACCCGCGACTTTGGCAGCATCGTGTTCGCCTCGCTCAGGCGCGTCGAATGATATACTTTTTTGTTTGGGTCAGGTCAACTTAGGGTGTTGACCTCAGGTCACGGTAAGGTCAGCACCCCCAAGTCACGAAGTTGGTCGAAAGAAATCATGTCGCATATCATTCGATTCGACAGGTCTTCCTGAGTCCATTTGTGGCTTTCCCGACTCGCTAGCTCAATTTGATCGGGAGTTATTGACGAAAAACTCATATGACCTTGATGACGTCATAAATGACGTCACGCAAGGTCAACATTGCAAAAGTAACGCATCAAACCTTGCAAGGAGTGCATCAATTTACGATTCTGTATGCTTGAGATAGTTTGAGATCGTTCCCGGCGCCAGAATAGCAGTGTTCATTTTTCCCCATATAATGGTGAGGTCACGAAAATGACCTGATCTCATATGATCTTTAGGAAAAATCCGAGATATGCAAGTTGTGAGACTCATAATGGCTACTAGATCCAGTAAGTTTCATTTCCCTGTGACATCTCCTCTGGCAGTGAGGGCGTTGCGAAGTTGCGGCATCTGAAGACCGTGCAGAGGTTCACTTATGACGTCATAGGTCAGTGACCTGACCTGACCCAAAAATGCGGTTGATGTCACAAGATCCGGCTTGAATCAAAGGTCAGGTATGCCAAGTTTCAGCTCTCTATCGCCAGCGTGTTCGGAGCTATCGTGGAAAAACCCTATGGGGGGGGGGCGGCACCCGCCCCCCCTCGGCCGGTGAGGCTTAACCCTCGCCCCGCTGGGTGGGGGGGGCAATTTGGCCCCCCCCCTGTGGTTTTTCCTAAATAGCAAGAAAACGCGCGCCAAATTTTCAGTACCTTCCCGGGCATCAATTTGACACCTTCACACAAAATTTCAAGTCTTAGGTCACCTTAGGTCAGGAGTTATTGAGGTCAAACTAAGGTCATGTTCGAGCAAAAATGAGCAAAAAACATGAAATCTTGAAACGCTCACAAAAGCAACAGTTATCAAGCAATTTCAAAGTTCTTTATATGGTCATGTAGACAAAAGGCGGCGCTACAAAACTGCAATCTCGGATTTTCAAAGTTATATCCTCTTCTATCTACATACCAAATTTTAGATTGATACCTCCTTTTTTGCGCAAGTTATAGCAAAAACTGTTCAAAATTGATGACGTCAATTTTTTTAACTCAATTTTTAGCAATTCTAGGCCACGTAGCGCAAAACAAAGACTACCATTGAACTCCCCGTGACGAGCTGCATCGAATCGATACCCATTTTATGCAAAATATCAACTTTGAAATTTGACCTTATTTGACCTGACCTTGACCTGACCTTGACCTGACCTTCACCAGAACATAATCTAACCTGACCCGAAAGGCTGCCTGACCCACATAATCGTAATTGGGATACAAAATGGACCATAAAACATGCATTACATGATATTTTCATATTGTGATCCTCAGTGACCTGACCTCTGTGACCTGACCTGGTATCAGTGACCTCAAATAGCAGAATATGTGTTTGACGAACATTTTCCCACCGATGATTTTCAATGAAATGCATTTTACTCGATTTTACAACGCATTTCCTGAAATGCCTGTAAACGGTGAAAATTCGACATTTGACTTGATCTGTGACGTCATCGGTTTGACCTAGGTCAATGAAATTGGGTCACAAGGTAGTTCCCTGGTAGGGCTATCCAACACCGTTTGCCGCTTGTCGCTATGTTGCGTGGTTTTCGAGACCTTAGGGGGGGGGGCAAATTGCCCCCCCCCCCTCCAGCAGGGCGCGTTGCTCGGCAGACCCCAGCGGGGCGCGGGTTAATATAGCCTCGGTTGTCTGGGTAAATGCCTTTGAGTATGTAATGTAAGCATGATTTTATAATTGGACCTCTTTAATCCTCGCCGGCACCTATAGTGAATAAAGAAAGTGACAAGGAAGGCATTTGCCACCAAAATTGCACAAAATCTCGGACATGACACGCAAAATTACCAACATCACCTTGCACAGCCTATCTACCGCCATGTCACCAATTAATTACACAGTAATCTGATCATCGAGGATGTTTGTTTTACGAAATAAGAGGGTGGGTGGTATTACCCGATGGGAAGCGTTCCCCCGTTTTCCCTGCATAGATTCAAGTGATGGATCTATGATCTCAGTGGATCTCGAAGCAAACTGCAGGTTAGGATCTATGATCCCACCGAATCCTGCGCGAAAATTTTATCTCGGATGTACATGTATGATCTCATAGGATCTAACAATAAACCAAGAACATGTGTCTGTCTATATGATCTGAGTGGATCCCGCCATGCACAACTTTTGAAACCAGGTTTTTAAGTGTTTCTATGACAATAAGTGCCACAAAACTATGGATTAGGACGTGCAGTCACGTCATGTGTCTTCACGATGTGTCTCACAATGTCTTCGTCATCGTGTGGACTGTGGACCTCACGCTCACCAGGGTGACAAAGCGCCATGTCGTCGTTGTGCAGCGCCGCGTCAGCAAAGGTGCTGTGTTAAGTATAGTATCAACACTGAACTGGCAGGCCCCCAGCTCACAACTACGTTTGGCAGCACATGCACAAACTTTCTTAGCTGTACAAACACCCGAAAGCGACGCCGCCCAAGGTGACCCCGAGCAAAATGGTAGGTAAAGCGATCGATGAACCCCTCCACTAACAGCGTCAAAGGTGACCTCGATTGTCCTCATTTTTTGTGCCACATCTACTTCCCTCGCTTGACTGTGTTTAAGCAGGTGGGAATTATTCGACCAAGTGTGAAAACACTTCACACCGCAAAACCTCCCTACCTGGAGCTGACGGCGAAAGGCATAAAACGGCGTGCTGGCGGCTCGCCACTTGTCCATCGTCCTGGTCCTTCGGAAGTCGTCCGTCGGAACAGGAAGTCGTAATTACTTCGTCGGAAGTCGGTAAGTATTTCGTCGGAAGTCGTAAGCCGTTGGTTATTGGCGGAGGCTGGTCGTCGCTGGTTGTTGATGTTTCTGATTACTTATCATTGATCGCTGTTATCACCAATCATTGGTAACCACTGGTCGTTGATCATTAACCACTAGCCGTTGGTCTTTGACCACTGGTCTTTGGTCATTGATCACTGGGCACTGATCGTTACCGGTCATTGGTCGTCAGTGGCGCAAGAATTACTTTCAGACTGGGGGGGGGGGGGGGCATATCATATGTAGAGCACCCCCAAATCTATAGTTTTCTCATCGGTTTTAGGCCACTTATTTTTCATCCCTTGGCTTATTGAATGAAAAAAGAAAACATTTGCAAAAAAGAGCGGTATTCGGTCTCAAAGGTTATGGGGCACCGCCCCCACGATCCCAGAGTTGGAGGGGGGGGCATGATGCTCCCCCCCCCCCGGTTCCCGCGCATATGTTGGTCGTAACCACTGGACGCTGCTCACCGGTCGCTGGCGGCCGTTATTGGCAGGTCGCAGGTCGTTCTGTCCCGCCACAATGCAGGTCGATTATGGCTACCCGGTGCGGGTCGCCGTGACGCTCATCTGCCTCCAGCTGATGGCCCCCGTCAGCAGCTCTGTGAGTCCCAGCCGGATACTCCGGGCAACCAATACCACATGGAAGCCCCTTGGTGGTGGGAAAATCGGTCCCTTGTCATCCTCCCTTCTTCCAACAATATTACCTACAAATGTGACGCGTTCATGCATGACGATCATTAGGGTGTGTCATTTTGGGCACTTTTTTCGCAAAACATGGTGCTCCACTGATTTTATCGTGCCCCAGACACGTAGAAACCGTGTGACATTTTTTATTTCCCCCAAATATTAAAACCCATGCGGCGCCGACCGCCGACACTTTGGCCTATCTCTCAGCATTAGCGACCTCAGCGCCCCTAGCGGCAATGTTTTGAACTAACACGCTCGCTATGCTTTGTGAGCTTACGATCATCATTAAATGCATTTTACCGAAATGACGCCTTGCTGTTGGCTTGTCTGGCACTCAGAATGTTGGTGAAAATGTGATGTTATGCATCTTAAAGCACGAAATAGTTCTGTGTTAATGTATATTGCATAGTACTACCCCCGATCCCCGTCCTGGTCTGACGGGATACGTACGAGCGCATGTTTATAGTGCCTGCTATTAGGTGTCACATGTTTTTTTTTTGTAGCGTCGTTCACTGCATAGACCCCGGGGAACAGGGGGGGGCAGTGGGGGCGCTTACCCCTACCCCCCCCCTCCAACTTGAGAGCCGAGTGGGCGCCGCCCCCTCAACATTGATGCAACGATGAAGGATCTCTGCTCCCTTTTATGGACCTACATGTCTGTTTTTATATAAACATCAGCACAAGGTATTTCTCTTGCATGTGAATGGTTTCTGCTGATTCGGCATCGATTTAAGAACACCTGCTATTGTCATCCCACTTTGATTTTATCTGAACTTGATCATAACTTTGGTAGGTCAGATTTTATACTGGACCATTTTGGTGCCGGATGGTATTTGATTTGTCGTGATGAGAACATTATGACGTACAACGGTGGTAAAGTCGTTGATTGATACAGGTTTACTCGCTCCGGTGGGAGGCAGTAGCGGCGGAACACCTTCAATTAAGTGGGGGGGGGGGGGGGACACTGCCGACTTTTGGTCCCATTCTTTCCATGCAACGCCCATAGGGCTAATGTTAAAATGCCCAAATCAGAGGGGGCACGGTGCCCGGTGCCCTCCCCGTTCCGCCGCCTATGGTGGGAGGGCGGCGTGTGGGACTCAGAAGGAGACTAATGGCTTGTGTTGTGCCTTTGGTAGGACCCTCAGTATCACCGATGCAGGGCCTTCAGAGCCTCCAATTAAGGGCCTTTAGAGGCACTGGTGTGGGGTCCTCACAGACGCCCGTGTGGCCCCTCAGAGGTGCTAGTGTGAATCCCTCATAAGCGCCGGTGAGGGTCCTCACAGAATACAGACGCCGTTGTGGACCCTCAGAGACACTGGTGTGGGTCCGTTACATGTGGGTGTGTGCCGTGTGGCCCTTAGAGCTGCTGGTGCGAACCCTTTAAAAGTCGGCAGGGGCCCTCAACGACCGGGGAGGGGGACCTCAGACCGGCAAGGGGCCCACCGAGGCCGGCGGCATTGTCAGAAGCCCTGTGGGGTCCTTAGATACCGACAAGGTACTCTGAGACGCCAGTGTGGCCCTCAGTCTCTGGTGTAGGGCCCTCAGAGTTGCAGGTAGGTGGCCGTCAGATATGCTTTTGCCGAACCCTCACAGGCGCAGGTGTGGGTACCTCAGAGCCACCAATATAGGGTTGCATAAATGGTGTGGCACTGGCTTGGGGGACCCTCAGTGGTGTCCTTATGGGCCCTTAGAACCACTGGTGTGGGTCTCTCAGAGGTGCTGGTTGTGAACCCTCAGAGGCCCTGCTGAGGGCCCTCACGGTCTCCGTTATGGAATCCTCAGAAGCCGGCGTAGACCCTGACGGAGATCTTAGTGTGGCTACTTAGGGGCTCATGAGGTGCTCTTACGAGACCTGTGAGGTCTTTCTCAGCTGAAATATAGTCAGCGTGGACCCTCAGAGGTCAGTTGGTACCGCAGGGGTCTTTATGGCCGGGTGGGCTCTCAGAAGCACCAGTGAGGGCCCTCAGTCTCACAGTCGTCGTAATGGGGCCGTCAGAGACATTGGTGTGAGGCCATTACTGATTACAGGTTGGCGTAAGGCCCTAGATATGGCCCCTCTTGGGCCGGCTAGGACTCTCAGAGGCACGCTAGCAGCCATAAGAGGCCGGTAAAGGGCCCTCAGAGGCCGCCAGTAGCCTTCGGAAGCCGGCGTGTAACCCTCATGGACAATTTAGTGAGGCTTCTTTGGACTCACGAGGTGCTGTTACGAGCCCTATTCTTTCTGAATCGAAATATGGCCAGCATAGACCCTGAGCGGTAAACTGGTGCCACAGAGCCCCTCCGACCCGAGGGGTCCTCTGAATGCGATATGGGGGGGGGGAGTAGATGGCACGTGCCTCCTGGGACCCCCTGACTACGCTACTATTTCATATGCGTCATGTCAGGTATTTTGGGCTTGCACCCCAACTTGAAGAATGTTCCTGGGCCCCTGTGACAATATATTGTATTCATTATAGGTATTCGTCATTAGCTTGCACTCTCTGCAATCTGCCCATACTATTATTTGTCCCTAGACGCGCTTACAGAGAGCAGGGATAAGCCCATACAGTCAACGGCCTGTTAGTTTCGCAAACAGCCGCCAGGGGCGCTAGGGTCGCCTATGTTGTGAGATAGGGCAAACTTCTCTCGCTCGGCGCCGCCTGGGGGTTAAAATTTGCGGGAAATTAACAATGCCACGCCCTTTCCACATGAGTGGAGCACAATAAAATCGATGGAGCACCTTGCATTGCGATTAGTGACACACCCTAACGATCATAAAGTGATGCTGAATATATGACAATTATAGCAGTAACTAATTGTAGCGATAAAGATAGAGTAACACCATAAAAAATACCTATCCGATCCTTGGTCGACATAAAAGATTCATGCCGTCGCTGAGATAAGAACTTCATTGTGAAAATCAGCCGTTATGAATTGTAAAATCTAGTCATGTGTTATCAGTGTCCAATAATGGACTGCTCACTGAGCTGTGCCCGTGTTGACCCAGCTGCAACGTCTGTCTCTCACAGGACTGTCCCTGGGGCTGGGTGGGGCCGTTCTTCGACATGTGCTACCGACTGAGCAGCTATGAGGCCACCTGGACGGAGGCCAGCTCCACCGGCTGTCGGGCGCTACACGAGTACGCCCACCTGGCCTCGGTGAGGGACCTCAACAGCGTCTTCCTGTCCAAGCAGAAGTCCATCATTGACACCGACTACTACTGGGTGGGCCTGCGCTCCGGGGACGACATGTGGAACTATGACACGGGGGACGCCCAGATGGTGGACTTCACCAACTGGGAGGTGGTGCGTCACCAGGAGCCCAGCGGCTCCAGCGTCACCAACGACGACTGCGTCAAGGTGGTCGGTCCCGGCGCGCCGCCCGAGTTCCTGCCCGCCGGCCGCTGGCTCGACTGGGACTGCCAGGCGCGCAACGCCTTCATCTGCTCACGGAAACGGGTGAGCGGGCGCTTCGCAAGCGAGTGGGATTCGCATTGCTCTAGCTGTATGTAGCGAGGTGAAAGTAATCACATACCACTTAGGGCTTCGTTAGCTGAATGTGGTACCATTTCCGAAGCCTCCTCAAATTGTCAATACCTTCTTTCGACTAAAGACCAAAGTTGTGATGCCTAAATGTTTTATCGTATTTTTTTTCAAAATCCAGAACTTCAATGGAATTCAATCTAAACACTTTTTAGAGAGTTGACCAAAAGTAAGTGCTCTCACATTTGGCTTAATTAATCAAATATGAAGCTGACATCTAGCCCATCTAACCCAGGAGTCTGCAACGCTTGTCCGTAGTCTCTGATTAGCATTGGAGTTGAGTTGGTTTCACGACGCACGTGCCAGTGGCGGCGGAAGCGGGGGGGGGGCAGCGGGGGCACAGCGCCCCCATGTTTCAGGGTGGGGGCACAGGGGCGGTCGGAGACTTGACGTTTGGGGGGCCAACTTGGCAATGGGGCCCCAGCGCTGACCCGGGGGGCCCGGTGCTAGCTTAACCCTCGCCCGCACGGCGCACATGCCATTTTTCCATCCTAGAACGCACATGGGGGGGGGGGGGAGGTGCCACCGCCCCGCGCCATTGCGTTCCTGTTGGAGATGGAGCTTCGCGGTAGGACCAAAAAGATTATTTGGGAAGAGAGTACGAATCTAATGATACCCAGTTTTACCTTCTCAGGTCAGTCATTGACCTTCCAGGTCAGGTCAAACTAAAAAAAAATGTTGCTGTTTTGGGTCACCGTTGGATATCAAGTGCGCTGCTCACCATATACCGACGACGATGCCGTTTTATGGTGCCAAGCAAGCTAGAACCTCTTTGTCACAATATCCGACCAGGTTCTTGCTGCTGAGGTCATTTCAGGTCAAGTTAGGTCAAGGTCAATGATATGTGTTTGTAATTGTATGTCTGTGTGTGTCTGTGTGTATACTGATGTGTTCACAGATTGTTTATGTGTCCATGTTTACATGAAATCATGATCTGAGAAGCTTTTACCAAAAATGCAGTCAAAAAACTTCACGAAAAGTAAATTCAGGTTGCCTAAAACGCAATTATGTCAGATGACCTAGGTTGACCTTGACCCTGACCTTGACCTCTGTACATTGTCGAACAACATGTTCCATGATAGGTGGGAGGTAAGACTGGCTAAAAAAGGCCGAAATCAAGGTGTCAAAAGCTCACAAGGCCCATAGCCAACGCAAGATGTTGAGAATTGGTCATTTGGGTCATGACATGACCTGAAAAACAAGGTTATATCTCCGAAACCAAAAACCACAGAAACTTGAAATTTTCAGTGGACATCAAGAAAGGATAGAAGAATTCAATTTTACAACACATTTCTTAAAATGCCTGTAATCGGTGAAAATTCGACATTTGACCTGGCCTGTGACGTCATCGGTTTGACCAAGGTTTGGGTTAAAATGCCCCCTCCCCCAACAGGGCGCGTTGCTCGGCAGACCCCAACGGGGCGCGGGTTAACACGCGCACCGACGGGGGGCGGATATCCGCCCCCCTGAGGTTTTTCGCGAATAGCGGGAAAACCGTGGCGCTAGCGCCGCGAAATTTGGTACGACTATTCTCTCATCAATTTAACACATGGTGTGCAAGTTTGAACCTCCTAACTTTTAAGGTCAGGTCACCAGGTCACTTTGAATGACCCAACCTCAAGTCACTTTTTGCAACTTTATCACCGTGCCAGAGCTACAGTAGATGTCGGAGGCCTTTGAAAGTCGCAGGATGTTATAAGGTCATTAGTAGCTACAATTTGTTTATCTCGGAATTTTGATATCGATGACCTAAGGTCAGGTCAATATCTCGACCACCCCATTATAAGTCAATGGAGGGAAAATCAACTCCCTGTTTTTACCACTAAAACGGGTCGGAATAGCCCCATAAACCATACCTGACCTCATATACGATCAACCTTCACTACCTTGAGGTCTGTTTTGCTGTTGGGCAGCTGTAAGGTCATGTGACGTCATCAAAGGTCACCAGCGGTTTTTTGACAATAACTCCGTACAGGAACAAGATACAGCTGCGCGGATGGTCTCATTGTGTTCAGCTCGTCAAGACACATCGAATGATATACATGATGACCTCGAGGTCACGTGACCTGAGGTCAACCTTTGACCTTGACCTTTCGAGGTCAACATATATACCTATCATTCGATGCGGATTGACGAGAGGATCACGATACTGCCCTTAGTTTGTTCCTATCTTGACTAGTTCGAAAGTTATTCGAGAAAAATTGTATATTGTTCATTTTGACAAATGTTTACTTTAATACGTGCGGGGGGGGGGGTGTTCCAAATCTTATTTAGGCGAAACATATCGAGGAATGAAGAAGAGAATAGACGAATATAAAAGAGACGTTCGAAACCACAAAGATACCAGCATCTGCGATGCTGGGCTCCGCATCGCGGGACCGCAGGTTGTTTGAGCAAGCACCTCTGTAAGGTCACAAAAGCGCCCGCCGCCAAACGAGAGGATGAGCCTTGCACGTGCAGACCGGAATGGGTGTGCTACGAAATGACGTGCACTGCACTCTGCTAACCGGTCTCTAGCGGTGTGCCAAATTTGAGTGCAATCGACCCGGCCGTTTTCGAGATCTGGAAGCGACACCCTGCACGTGCGCACGTGCAAAATGGTCCCATCTGACTTTTGCACGGCACCCTATTCGCCGGTCTCTAGCGGTGTACCAAATTTGAGCTCAATCGGCCCGGCCGTACTGCCCCAAGTCAGGCGATGTCTCGCCTTTGGTTCACAATTTTCATTCAGGATCGCCTGGTAGGTGACTACCTGCATGCCAAGTTTCAGCGCAATTGGCCCAGTAATTACCGAGTTATTGCACTTATTACAAAACTGACACCTCTCCGTATTACACGTGTCACCTGCAGTAGGGGTCACTCGCATGCATCGTCCATAGTAAAATACTTCTAAGAAGGGTATACGCTACCCCACACAAAAAACCGCAAGTGTATTGGTCCAGTGGCTGCGGAGATATAAGTCGTACAAAAACGTCCCCACGGCGGCCGGCTGCTAATGTTTAGTATTAAATCGCATCCTTCAATGGGAGGTATCCCTGTCACCTGTTCGTATACTGTCTGAGCCAAGACCATATATAGGTCTGAGCTCAAATCTCGGTAAAGTCGTGCTTTTTTACCAAATTCCTCAAAAACGGCACAACGTGCAATAACTTTCTATATATCATTGGAAAGAGCATCAAAAGTTGTATAACTTATCAACTTTTCACTTAAATATATCTCAACTGTAAAAAGTTATTAAGCAGCAAAGACGCTCCCATTGACTTTCCATGTTAAAATTTTTCATTTTTAAACGAGACTAAAAAGAACAAACGAATTTGCACAGCTTAAAGAAGCATAACAACATGTTCTATGGTCTTTTCTCAACAAGTCCTGGAAGTTTAAACAAAATCGTATCATATAATTTTGTACAATGAGCGAATGAAAAAGTCTCTGCAAAAACGCCCATTGACTTAACATGGGGAGCGAAAAAAGTTCAACTTTGGCCTCGTGCAAAGACACGTTACGAAGTTCTGAGGGGTATACGGCGCACACTAGCGTGTACCCAAACGTGTTTGCCATAAAATGCTGGGAAGAAAACCACCTCTTCCTTGGCTCGTTTTCCCGCCATTGGCGATCGCGCAAAAAGTGTCCAAAACCCCGTTGACTTAACATGGGGAAAATGGAATCGCACGTGCCACGTGCCACGAGGTTTTAAGCGAGTAGCGACCGGTGCCATCAGGTAGATCGCCTCCGGGAGCCCATACACTGAACTTTTTACGAAGATTGTACATTTCGTCTAGGCCCCGGTCAAGATGTCTCGATTCGCGGCCAGACTTGCAAAACATAGCCCGGAGAAGGACCGCTCCGGTTGTTTTTCAATAGAAAAACACAATTCTAACGAATAGTGTTTGTCTTTTCAAACAACCTGCGGTTACCAGCATCTGCGATGCTGGGCTCCGCATCGCGGGACCGCAGGTTGTTTGAGCAAGCACCTCTTTACCCGCCGCCAATTGCAAACAAACGACGCCAAAAAATCGCCACCGCAAAAAAAGAAAAAAAAACACCGCCCGCCCGCCCGCCGCCAAACACCGCCGCCGCAAAACCGCCCGCATCGCACGCACGCCCGCCGCCAACCGCAAAACGCCGCAAAAAAAACGGCCGCCCGCCGTCAAACGCAAAAACTGCAAAAATGCGCCCGGCCGCCGCCAACCGAAAATAAACCTTATACCGAAAACGACGCAAAAACAAAATCACCCGCATCGCGGCGGACGGCCGATGGGTGAATTTTTTAAGGGCGATTTTTTTAGCCAAACTCAGACTCGGGCTCTGAGTGCAGCCTGAGTTATAGATGTCGCTGTCATTCAGCCACTGAAACTAAAGCGCCACGATTACCGTCAAATCATATTTCCTATTTAACGATATTCTGGATCCTATTCGATGGAAGGCGTGTGTGTCTGCTAGCGCAGTTCGCAAGTCGACACTCCCGAACCTGCTAATCAGTAACCATGAAAACGGAGTGCTAGTAGCCGCAAATGTTGCTGCACTGGACACGGTCAGGGTCATGATCGAGCGTTTATTGAACGGAATGGACGTACCTATTTTTACGCCAGAGTCTCGCCGCACGGTTGCGTGTCATATACTCACATCCGAGCAGCTTTAACATTGACAAGTCCTGTAGGTAATTATTTTCTTTTGAGCAAGAGGTAAGATAGATTTATTATGCATCAGATAAAAAGTAGCGCAGCAGTGGTGTGCCAGGTAGAGGTTGTTTTGCCGACATTTTGAGTTCGTGTCTGATTTCAACACGTGGCACAACTCCTTAGCGTTCACATGCAGTTGTAAGTAGTAGCTACATGCATACATTTGGAGGCATACAATCTAAGAATAATTATATTGGGGTATTCATCATTACAAGTCCAGCAGCAGCCATGAAGCATTAAAAAAACTCCCCCCAGGTATGCAAGGTGACCACATATGTCTCCATGTGCATA